TCCCTACATTGCACCAAGTGCTGTAAAAATAAAAACCAGGATGTAAACACTAAAGAACAGAATACATTGCTAAAAAAAGATTGCAAGTGATTAATATACCCTTTGAATACAAAGCAACTTCACATACTGTGGCTTCTAAAAGCAAAACCATTTTCAAGTGTATTCAGTGAATATTAGTGATTTTAATTCAGTATGTATAAATATGAATGTAAACTATAAATGTATATAATAAGACAACACCTTTTAGTAAGTGTAGACTTCTGAGCCAAATTCAACCTTGAGAAAATTCTCTATTCTCCAGTGGTGTGATACCTTGGGAGAATTTGGCCAGCAAGTCTATTTACAACAATGGAAAAAAACATGCAGCTTATTTCTGACTGAGACCTGTACTTATTAAGAAAAAAAACTAAAATCAACAACTCCAAACTACCTGTCAGCCTATTGACACACAAAGGAGAATTTGTAAGTCTGCATTATATCCTACTTATTTGTAAAAAGTGGACTCAAAAAAGCAGAGTAAGATGCATTTATTTAAGGTATTTATAGTTGTTTTTCCCATTCCTCCAATTCCACTGTCTCACAAAAGGTATGTCAGTAATACTCACTACTGTCACTCTGCGCATTGCAAGCTATGGGCAGCAGGACTGTAAGAAAAACAATTGTGAACATTTAATAATTTAAGAGATACTGAGAGACTATCACCTTCTGGTCATACAGGGATCATCAGGGATTGCTAATGACTTTCCCTCCACTAATTTTAGGAAATGCTCTGAACAAAAGGACGGAATCCAAATCCTAGAGAACTGAACAGCTTATTAAGGAGAATTTTATCAACTGTCCTCTGAACACTGAAGACCACCAAAGCTGGTCAACTTAATTTCTAACATGAGACCAAGTGAGAGCACCCACTAAATCTCCACTTGAAAAAGCACAAACATCATTCCATTTGCCTCTAGATAAATGCATTTTCCATTGCTGAACTTGAGAGTGGCCACGGAACTGTTGCCTACTAGTTGCAGAGCTGTTCCATGTCTACCAGCAGCTACGTGGCTGCGTGTTCCTTCACCACATGTCCAGATTTAGTGTTAGACATGGCCTGTGACTAGGAGTATAGGAACAGACCTAAATCCACACAACAGACTGAACCGCACCTAGGTCAGTAGTCCTTGTGTCTTCTGCTGTGAAAAAATGCCAAGGAATAGGCTTACAAGATGGGTCTTTGCAGTGGCCACATCCTCCTGCACCAAAAGCAATGCTGTTCTTTGTGCCCTTAGCTGAAAGACCATTTAAAAGCTGGTGGGAGCACAGTGACCAGCCAGCCAGTGACCAGACATTCTTCTAAAGCAGTGACAAAAGCTGCTACTATTAGTGCAAGCTACAGTGCACATTGCTCAGCAGAGGATGGAAGAGCTCTCCTGTTAAAATTACAGCCTATCCCCTCACCAGTGTTACAGTGGATACCCAAGTTAAAAGTTTGTGAGTAACTTACAGCAACAAAATGCCAAGCAGCTGAAGGAAATGGAATTAGCAAAGTCGGTGGCATCTAAGAGATGGTCTCACACATGGGATTCCCATCTGCACATCATCAGCTGGGCTTTCCCAGCACTGCTGTCACATCACCCATACAGTTTAATAGGTGGTAGCTACAGTGACCATTAATGCTGCAGATCTGAGCAGAGAGGACATTTTAAGGTAGATTTTTGCCCCAATTCAGTTGCTGCTCATACAAGAAGCAAGAAGGCTTTAGTTTCTTGCGAGCTAATCCACCCGGGGCTGCAGGCTGGTACCTGGGCCCTGCTGTGCTCATTTGATCTACTAAACTAGCCACTTTTTGGAAGACTGAAATCACAGGAGGGCAGCAGTCCTTCAGTGCTTTTCATCCTGTCCACCTCACAAAAGGGCAGGTACAGTCTTCAGCTCCCCATGAAAAGGGATTTTCAGGCTGCCTAGTTTATTTCAGCAGAAGACACTATAGGGGACACCTCCAGCTGTCTCAGAAGCTCACTGTGATTATCCAACAGATAGGTGGACTCAGGAACACCCATAAAGAAACCTCAAGAATGTTCAAACCCAGTAAATCTCTCAGCACCTTGGGTTGTAGTAGCAGAGACTGTAGGAGCAGTGAAATTCATCAGTGACAGGCAAAACTACAAAGCAGAAGCTTAAGATGTACAGATTCATGTTTGAGGTCCTCTCTGTAAGTATACTCAGGTCTTAAGAAGAAAGATAATGGTAAACTCTCATTTGGGTGAAACTCTTAAGAAAAAATATTTCCTGGGTTTTTCCTGCAGAAAGCCACATTTGCTACAAACTATAAATATTAGAAATCTCTTCATAGAATTGGGCTTTCTGGAGTGTGACCTAGGAATGAATACTCACCTTGCAAATAAAAGACTGGATCTGAAACTGAAGAACTTACACTGGTACCATATAATCAACTGGATTTCATCATCCAGAAGGATAACCAAGGGTCCAGCTGCACTGCCTCAAGAAACGTCAGCTTGGCCAGTGGGTAGGACATGCTTTGTGTTTAGCCCAGAAGCCCTAGTGCCCACATAGTAGTAGAGAACAAACTGAGCAAATGGCAGTGTCAGTTTCTAACAAAATCTTTGTTTCTCATAGCCACCTTCTCCTTAAGGAGAGCCCAGCTGTTCTGAAGAGGTTGACATGGCCTTGACAATGAACATCTCCCTACTGCTGAATAAGGAATCAGCAAAGGAAACATCTTCAGCCTTTTTAATATTAGTCCTGAGCCTGACAGGTGGGCAGTGCAGATGCCATGACTGCTGGTTCCTGGGCTTTCTCTGTAAGCCTGCAAAGCAGAACAACTCTACAGCATCCCTATATGCTCAGTAGAAATCTGGAGAAATAACAGAACATTTGGATGTAGTAAAGAGTGACAGCTTTCAGAATACTTGCCTATATATTAAAAAAAATCTACAATGTCTTCAGTCAGGATAAGAAGAAAATGTTTTTATACTGTAACTGAAAAAGAGCAAATCCCACATTTCCTCCAGCCCTACACTCAATCACTGTTTCCAGATTCCTTAGACTACAGAGGAATGGAGAAAGAACTACAGTTCAATTGAGGAAGGAAAGACTGCACAATCCCACAAAGGCAAAAGTTATTAGCAAATTAATAACTAGCCTGTAAATTGCTCAAGCAGAAATCATATTCCTCTTTCTGCCAGTGTTAATAGACAATTTTTTGAGAAAAGGTCTAGTCAAGAAGCAAGCTACATTACCAGAAACAGGGGAAGGTATTACATATCTTTGGTTTCACTTGCCTCTGTAATCAACAGCTGCTGTGAGCAGCAGCTCATGACTGTCAGAGTGCAGTCAGTCAACTGACAGACCTGTTTAAGCAGAGTTTAAATCCAGAGCTTTGGGATGTGCCTTCTTGGATGCCAGCTCTGACAGCTTCTTCAGGCGCTTCTTCAGCTCCAGAGGGAATTTCTCATAGCACTTCTTGCAGACAGGCTTCATGTCAAACTCCACAAACTTATTCCTTTAACACAAAGAACAGCAGGCTCTCAAAATGTTATTGGAAAAGATATGCTTTACTAAATCCAGTCTCTGTGCACCTACAAAAATGCTGCTGTCTGTGTTTGTCTGCATGTAGAAAGCAACTCACCTCCTCATCTGGTCATGTAAGTACAGAGACTGGGCTCTTAACAGGGAACTAGGGTCATTAGTACTGTTAGTCAAATAAGGAACAAGGTTTTTCTATATATTCTATGTAACAGTCTAGAATAATAATGTTTTTGTAGAATGGAAGTGTCACTTCAAAGGTCCTCTTCACAATTCATGTAAAAGGCCAGTGGGGCCAGCCCAACATAGTAGGACAAAGGTTTGAACCTGAGAAAGGAAATGTAGAATTGCTTTGCTTTCTGTCTGTCTTCTATATATTTGAGGTAAGTGGCATAATATTTTTTTAGCATAATCTATGCAACTGCAGATTGCACTGAGGGGAGCATCCAGAGTAAGGAGACATGGAGGCTGCAGGTATTTCAGGACAGGCAGCTACTCGAAGTTTAGAACCTTCCCTCTGTACTGCTAAATGAGTTCTCCTCTTACCCAACTTTCTTACAGAACAGATGAATGAAGGAAAATAAACCAGAGGATGCTGAGTCCCAGCTCCCTTTTAGTTCTATAATCAGTGGAATTATAAGCACCTTCTCCACAGAGACAAGGTACACTGCCCCTCAGAGAGACTGGCTGATGGCTCTCGCGGGCCGATCCCCTGCCTTAGGGACAAATGTATGATATGATCATGTCATAGAATGGTTTGGGTTGAAAGGGACCTTAAAGCTCATTTACTCCCACTCCTTGCCATGGGCAGGGACACCTCCCACTAGATCAGGTTGCTCAAGGCCCCATCCAACCTGGCCTTTAACATCTCCAGGGATGGGGCAGCCACAAACAACCTCCCTGGGCAACCTGGGCCAGGGTCTCACCACCTTCACAGGAAAGACCTTTTTCCTAAGGTCCAACCTGAATCTCCCCTCTTTAAGCTGATGATCCAAAGTAGAAACACTGACTTACTTCAGTGTAAGCTTGATGTTGCAGGTGGAGCAGGAGAAGCAATTCACACACCAGGCCTTATTAAGAGCTGATACCACTGCAAAAGCAAAAGAACAAAGTAAGAGGAAACTGCCAGATTATTTGAATTCGGATTTGTATCCAAATTCAAATGAGGCCAGATGTGGAAAGGCAACACTAGTGCCTTGCAACTGTGGGACTGCAACAGCTGCACTAACAAATGGAGCAAGGACAGCAACCCAGAACAAGGAGAGAACAAATCTTACCATCTCCCTCGATCACATGACTGCAGTTGTAGCAGACATCTCCAAAGAGCTGCACAGCAAAATAATAAGAACAGGAACTCATGTTACTGACCACTCATGCTCCTCAAATCACACAGCTGGTGTGAACATTAAATCCTAACAACTAAAGAATCCCTAGACATTGCAGTAGCCCCCAGATATACCAATTTAAATTTTCTGAATGACTTCTCATACACTTGCCAAACAGTCTGTGTCCCTTTGGATCTCACACCACTAACACTACAAACCCTTTTTGTTGATGTCTTACACTCTACCACTGTTATGTGAGCTCAGAGTCCTGTACATGTGGCAATTTGGAAAAAAGAGGATCAGTAGAGTCTGCTGCTTTCTGCTGCTTTCTATAGACATCTCCTGCTGCTTAACTATCAACATAAAATAAAACCTAGAGCTACTTTCAAAACAGTAGCACTTATCTGTTATGGGAGAGACTTAAATTATCTGACAGAAGAAAATACCAAACTTGTAGCTGTTCAGTAGTCATACAGAAAAAATAAACTTTGATTGGCTTTTGAAACATGCTTTTCTTATGCTTTAGACTGCACAACATTGATCTTAGGCCCATGGATGCAAGTAGAATTACAGGGATTTTAATCACAACCCATAGTCAGTGCTTTATTCTGTCAATGGCACAAAGAAAAATCAGCATCCCCCAGACATTTCTGTTGTTTTCAGCATCACTTTTCACATTTACCAAGAAAACCTGTTTTTTCTGTTATATCTCACTAATTTCTTAATATAGCATTGCCTCTACACATTCAGATTATGCAAAATCTGCATAGCTTTGCCTATGTAAAATGCAAAAAAAAACCCCATTTGCCAGTCAGAGCAGGTACCTACAGTATAGAAGCAGAATTTACCTGGTTATAGTGAGTTTCACAATAAGCCAGTCCTTTTTTCTCATAGTGTCGGTGCCCCAGGAATGGCTTCTCACACTTGGCACAAACAAAATGCTATAAAAGGAAAGAAGACATTCAGTGGCAGGCTAAGAGACTTTTTCATCACCAGTGAAAAACTTACATAGATACAAATCATGGCTCAATACAAGACACTTAATCATAAAATCACAGAATGGTTTGAGTTGGAAAGGATCTTAAAGCTCATTCAGTCCCACCCCGTGCATGGGCAGGGACACCTCCCACCAGACCAGGCTGCTCCAAGCCCCATCCAACCTGCCCTTCAACACTTCCAAAGAAGGGGCTTCCACAGCTTCCCTGAGCAACCTGGGCCAGTGTCTCACCACCCTCACACTAAAGAATATCTTCCTAATATCTCCTCTAAATCTCCCCTCTTTCAGTTTAAAACTGTTACAACCCAATGCTTTAATGAAACTCAGACAGGAAAACCTTTATGAAAGTAAAAGAGGAAATATTTAGTCTACTATAGTAATGAAGAATTGTATTAAAGATAGGTAGAATTAGATAGAGAATTAGAAACCTTCTGAAAGGGCAGTCATCTCGTGTCTATACTGACAGACCTGCAGACTGTTATCTTGCTTGTTTCAAAGAGAAACAGGAACCTAGAACACTTCAAATGAGCAGCATTATCTCTCTCAGTTCTACCCCAAGGAGACTGAAAACTCTGTCACTGAAAACAAAAATCTCAAAAAAACTTTGGAGCATCTGTGACAACTCAGCTAAAAGTTAAAGAAAAAATCAGCTGAAAAGGCCTAAAAAGCACAAATTGTGCTGGCTCTGCCTACATCATTAATTCTAACAGTGATGAATGGTTAACTGGGGTTGGAGAGGATTTATCCAAGTACATAATAGTAAATATGTAAACGTATTAGTAAGAAATGCTGTTCAGTGAATCAGATTCTGCCAGAGTCTTTGCAATGCAACTCAGGCATTTTAAAATTCTTACTGCTGTGAAAGCAGAGCTTGCTTAGGCAACCCTGATGACCCTGCTGCAGTTCTCTCACTAAGTTAAGGACAAACTGAAACATGGCTGGCTGTTTTCTGTCTGAAGTGTAAGATGCAGGGGGGCCTCACCTCCACGTGCCACTGCTTCCCCAGGGCATTGACCACTCGACCCTCAATGGGCCGGCGACACGCTCCGCAGATGGGGATGCCCATCTTGTCGTGGCAGGGCAGACAGTACAGCTCTCCCTTCAGCTCCCGGGCCTCAGCAGTCAGTTCCTTCCTGAAAACACAAACAGGTCCCTGGAGTCAGAGCACTGAGTGAAGCTCTGTCATGCCGAGACGAAGGTTTGGAAGACTAGAGCTGGAAGTTAACAGACTTTGACAATGTTCACGCTACAAATTCAGTCATTACATTAAGCCAGTGAAACACAGTTATTGTTAACTCATCTATCTAGAATTGCTTTCTCAGTTTGCCAAACAAGAGAACATGCGCAGAATATCACGGCTAGATCCTCTGGCAGAAATTCCAGGTGCACTTACATGGAACAATGCAGTGTCATGCAAAGGCTCAGGCTGTCTTTGAAGGGGACAGCTCAGGTACAAGGCCCATGTACTAGAGACCATCTCCGTGGAGTCCTGGTAGACCACAAGTTATGCATAGGACAACCATGTGCCCTTGTGGCCAAGAAGGCTAATGGTATCTTGGGGTGCATTAGGATGAGTGTGTCCAGCAGATTAAGGGATGTTGTCCTCTGCCTCCACTCCACCCTAGTGAGACCTCATCTAGAGTACTGCACCCAGTTCTGGGCTTCCCAGTTCAAGAGGGGCAGAGATTTTTACTGGAGAGAGTCCAATGGAGGCTACAAGGATGTTGAAGGGACTCGAACACCTGTCTGATGAGGAAAGGCTGAGAGACCTGGGGCTTTTCAGTCTAGAGAGGAGAAGACTGAGAGGGCATCTAATGAATGTCTATAAATACAGGAGGGCTGCGGTCAAGAAGGCAGGGACAAGCTCTTGTCACTTGTGCCCTGGGACAGGACAAAGGACAATGGATTAAAACTGGTGCTCAGGAAGTTTCACCTGAACATGAGGAAGAACTTCTTTCCTGTGAGGATGACAGAGCCCTGGGACAGGCTGCCCAGAAAGGTTGTGGAGTCTCCTTCTCTGGAGACTTTCAAGACCTGTCCGGATGCCTTTCTGAGTCATTTGCCCTAGTTTTGGTCCTGCTCTGGCAGGGGGGTTGGACTTGATGACCTTCAGAGGTCCCTTCCAACCCTCAGCATTCTGGGATTCTGGATTTCATTCATCAGCACTGCTACTCATCTTAGAGCAGTGCTGTGCTCCAGTTACACTGCCCTCATGGTAAGTAATTCAGGTCAGAGAGATGTCAGCTCACCAAGCCATCTTCTCTTCCTCTCCAGGAA